TGCCTTAGAAAGAAATAGGGGAGTTTGGAAGAGAGGAGGGTTTGGGGGGAAAATAATGAGTTCCATTGAATTGGAAATGTCTTCCATATATCTAGTTTTAAATTTCCAATAAGCAATTGTTGATGTGGAACTGAAGTTCAAGGGAGAGACTAAAGCTAGAAACATGGAGCTGGGAGTTATCAGTAACATCTTGACAAGTAAATCCACAGGGTAGGGGAGTCTTGTTCTAGAACAAGGCCTTGGGAGAATACTCACATTTAGGAGGCGGGATATAGAAAGAGCAATGGGAAGTAGGAGAAAAAAGGCAGGAATGTCCTAAAAGCATGGAGAAGAGGCTGGTTGACAATGTCAAGTATTGCAAATAGTTTGAGAAGTATGATGGCCAAAACAAGACCATCAGTTTGGCAATTAGATCATTAGTAATAATAATAGCTAACATTTGAGATATTTCACAAAAATTATCTCATTTAATCCCTACAATAATCTTGAAAGGTAGGTCCTATTACTACCCCAAATTTACATATGAGGAAACTGAGGCAGAGCTAAGTGTCTGAGGCAGAATTCAAACTTGGACTCTCCAAAATCCAAGTTCATCACTTTATTCACTGAGCCACATGTTTGCTTCTAACTGCCTGATAGCTTTGGAGAAAGCATTTTCAGGTAAATGATGAAGTTGAAGGCCAGATTGTAAAGGGTGGAGAAGTGAGAGAGAAAGAAGAGAGAAAGTAGAAGTAGTGATTATAGAGAACTTTATCTAGAAATCTGGCTAAGAAAAGGAGCTTGAGGGCCTATGTGATGGTTTGTTATTGCTTTTCAAGAGAGAGGATGCTTGGACATGTTTGAAGGCTGAAGGAAAGGGCTAATACGGGGGGGGAGAATCGAAAATTAGAGAAAGGGGTGGTGATTGAGGTTACAATGTGCTGGAGAAGATAGCAAAGGATGTCTTCAAGGGCACATGTAAGGAGAAGGGCCACTTCATTCTCAGAGACTGGGGACAGGCGAAGAGTAGAGAATGGGAGATGATGTCAAAGGATTTTGGGATGAGGAGGAGGGATCTCAGTAAAACAGGAAGTGGGGTCCTCAGCTGAGAGAAGGGGGAGATGGATGGGGGGGAATTTTCAGGAAAGAAAGTTTGGTTTGGAAAAGCTTTTGTGGGAGGAGAGATAAGGAATCATTTATAGAAGAATCAAAGGAATGTCTTGCTATGGTGAAGGCCCAGTTGAAGTTAGATAGCAACTTCAAGCCAATTTTGTTCTTGTTAAATTGTTTCAGTTGTATCTGACTCTTTGTGACCCCATTTGGTATTCTCTTGGCAAACATACTGGAATGATTCACCATTTCCTTCTCCAGCTCATTTTACAGATGAGGAAACTGAGGCAAACAAGGTTAGCCTTGTCTAGAGTCACACAGCTAATAAGTAACTGAGGCCAGATTTGAACTCAGGAAGAAGAGTCTTCCTGACTTCAGGCCCAGGACTCTATCCACCATACCACCTAGCTGTCCTGGGATATTAAGCCAACATCTCCAGTAAAAATGCTAATCTCTATATGGCAAATGACTGTACTCTAAGTTCTCAGTCATTTATACTTGAACATGGCTGGAGGAACCAGAAGCATGTTTTCATGAGGGGCTGTCCAATTGCACCAAGGCAGAAGGTAAAGAAGATGAGAGTAGATGAGGGTTTTAAACTTGGTCTGCTTCAAGATTATGGCCAAGGCCAGCTCTGGTTCCTTCTCTTCTCTCTTCCTTTCCACCTGTCCAAATTTGATTCATCTTTTGAGGCTAAGCTTAAGGCCTGTTTCTTCCATGATGCCTTCCTTCACCATCCCATCCTTCACTGATCCCTCCCTTCTTTGACATCTTATAGACCTCCTGTGTGTATGGGCCTGGTCATACAAAAACAGCTGGACAGGTTAGTCCCTAACAGCTTAGACCCATGGCCTCTGCTTCATTCTTTCTTCCACATGGCCTGGGTACAAGGAGACTCTACACTGACCTTGTGATTACTTCATATTAATCTTTTAACTCAGTGGACTTGGGATCTCAGTATGAGAACATTCTCAAATCATACAGCTCAAAGCTCACATCTTCCCAACCTGTATGATTCTTCTTGTCCACATCCTTCCATTAATCCATTAATTAAAATTAAATAAATAAATAAATAAATAAATAAATAAATAAATAAAATTAATTAAAAGAGTTATACATCAGGTAGAAGCCCTTCTAGATCTTTAGATGTAATAAGGAGGGCAGCACACAGACTAACACTTCATTGTGATCCTTCACTTTTGGCACATTATTGGCCCCCATCCCTTTCTGATCATATATTTGACTGATAACTTTCAACACCACTTCCTGCATGTAAGTAATATACAAGAATGCATTTAGACATTGTTTTGTAGCTAAAAAGAGGTTTATATCTATCATCTCATTTAATCTTTACAACAATTCTATAAGGTAGATAGTATAAGTTTTATTAGGGATAGAGAGAAGTGCTGGATCTGTGATTTCATTGGTACAGGAATTTCCAGATGAGGAAATTCCTTTTACCAGGGTAGGTTGGCACCTTTGTCCATGAGAGTTGCTTAGAGCACTGAGAGGTTCTGACTTGCCCAGCACAAAACCAGAATGTGTCAGAGGTGGGATTTGAACCCAGGACTCCTGGCTTTGAGGACAGATCTCCATCTACTATGATAGATAGATGGTATTATTACCATCCCTATTTTACAGATAGGAAAATGGAGGCACAAGAAGTTGACTGATTTGCCCAAGTAAATGGCTAAGCCAGGCCTTGAATCTCTTATTCTTCTCATATTGAATATGTATATAGGCAGAGGAGTAGAGAGGTGACCATCTACAAGGTGGGATGTAACATACAAGAAGCAACCCAATCTTCACGTAAGACATCTCCTACTGATAGACTGATAGATAAGCAATTTAAGTGCTGATTCTGGGCTCTTTCAGTTAGTGTCTGCCCATGCAATTGCCAATGCATATCTTAAGCCAGTCGAATGGACAGAGGACAAGTTTTACCACTTTTCCCATTCAATACTCATCATCTCCACACTCTTGGGAAGAATCATCCTTCCACCTCCATGCCATATAGAAAGTGAGCCAAGATGTTTACAATAAGGAAAAAGTGAATGTAGGTGGCTGGATTTTATCTCCCCTCTGCCCTATCTTGTTCAGACCCTAACAATAATATCTAATGTTTATATAACTTTAGAGTTTATGAAGTGCTTTACATATATTATCTCACACAATTCTCACAACAACCCTAGGAGGTAGATGCTTTTATTATCTCCATTTAATGGTTGAAGAAACACTGGCCAGGGTGTACTGGAACTAGCTGACTCATGATAGCCCATTGTGAAATTCTCAGTGTGAGTATTTACATCCCAGAAATCAGCAAAGGCAATGAATCAGGGCTTAATTTATTATTATACTCATTGTCTAGTCTTAAGAAAACAATGGGAATGCTTGCCTTCTCAATGGGGGGGGAGTGGGGGGAGGAAGGGAGAGAATTTGAACTCAAAATTTGAAAAAAAAAAGAATGTTAAAATTGTTTTTACATCTAATTTGAAGGAAAATAAAATGTTAAATCAACTTAAAAAATAAACAAACTTTGAAAAAAAGCAATGGGAAAATGTTAATCCAGATGAAATTTAGAAGTCTGTGTTTCTCAGAGGGCCAGTTCACTGCTGGAATAGAGGCTGAGAGAGGCTGAGTGACTTGCCCAGGGTCACACAGCTAGTAAATAAATGTCTGAGGCAGGTTTCAAACTGTGCACTTCCTAACTCTAAATCTAGCTCTCTATCTTCTTGGCCACCTTATGGTCTGTTAGTACTACGATTACCTACTAATACTCTAGCACTAACTTTGCTAGTTGTATGTTCTTGGATAGACCAAATGGGTTCTTGCCCATTCTGGCCCTCAATTCCTCTCCTTAAGATGCCGATGATCTAATTATATTCTCTGCTATGGGTCTACCTCCTATGTAGGTCTGAGATTTGGAGGGAAGAAATCTGGCTTGGAATCCCAACTCAGACACTTTGTGATCATGGCAAATCATTTAAACTCTTAGGACCTCAGTTTCCTTGTCTGAAAAATGGGGATAATAATATTTGTACTACCTACACCATAGGGCTGTTACAAGAAAAGCACTTTGTATAGAAAGTGCTACATAAGTGTGACTTATTATTTAACGAGATAATGTGAAAAAATAGCCCTTCTCTTATTATGGATGGAAAGTGTATCATTACTGAATGTGCAAGATGTTTTGGAAAGCATGTCACAAGAGTTAGAAATATCTGCATTCCTTTGGGGCTTCCAGTGCCTTGGAGGGAAGACCCTAAAATGGCAACAATTATTATCCAGATATTCTTCCCAAATGAGGATGGCAGATCCTGATTGTGCTGCAGTCTGGTCTCAGGTCCTGGAGTAAGGACTTCTGAATGGTTTTTAAATCTGAGATGAAACTTGGCCTTGTTGTCCTTCTGTTAGGCCTCTGCCACATTGTCTCAACTTCACCCAACAATGGGGGGAAGCAGACAAAAAGGGGGAAACAAAAGGCCCCTTCAGAGATGTCAAGTGGCCCCGCCCTGGGCTCTTCATAAAAAGCAGGAGAGCAGTAGCCTCATTGAGAGACCTTGAGCTAGGTACTTGGCCTCTCTCTGGGACTTGCTTGACTCTTCTATAAAAATAGTGGGTGTTGGGAGAGAGATACTACCTACAATTTTGGACTAGTTTTAAAAAGCCTTTGTTTTAGATTCTAGGTAGGTTCCATACCCTCCCTATAGTTTTGGTCTAGTTCTAAAAAAATCTTTCTTTTTAAAACTAGACTAAAATTGTAGGGAGGATGTGGAACCTACGTGAAATCTACCTATTGAGGGTACTGATGACATACAAATGACCAATGGGATATACACGAAAAGATTACAAAAAGACATGGGCTTCTGCCTCACTCCAGTGTTTGTGTCCCATCTTTGTTCTGATTCCAGGAAAGGAAGCCTTATATGTAATCACAACCCAAGTAGTCGGTTCTATCCATACTGAAGACCAGCTTGGAATGACCTGGATGAAGGGGTGGAGAGTGAAATTAGGGTTGTGGGGATTTCATACTTAGGCAAAGGAAGTTGGAACCTCTCATCCACCTGGGGTAAACAGACCACAGGTACCTTTGAAGACATCAATCTCAAGTAAGTCAGATTAGCATACACAGAGATCGATAAAATTCCTTTGATGTTCAGGACTGTATTTGCAGATGTATTTGTCATTCTGACTATTTTGTTCTTTCCTCTTGGGAAAGAGGTCTATGCTAATCAGTTTGTATCACCTGCCAAAGCAGAACTGGGAATTAGGGAAACAAAACAGAGTGCCTTTGTCTCTTGGTTACATCTGCTGTTGGCCCTATCAGATATTGGAGAAAAGCTACTTCCACAAATGTATGTATCTGTATGTAAGTGTGTGGGGGTGGAATATAGTATGGCTGGTATACTGGGGAATTTGGTTTGGATGGAAGCAGAGGAAGGCCTGACATTATCTTGATTCTACGCCTAGGGAAGTTCAAGGAAGTGGTCATCCTAGAAGCGTCCTGAATCCTTACATCTCAGTCAGCATTGAAGCTAGAATGAAAACTCCTTAGAGATGGTTCCATGATGTGTTCTGAAGAGAAATTCATATCCCCTGTCCAAAAAAACCCCAAAACAAAACAAAAAAAACCCCACTTCTTCCTTCCCTAGGACTTTTTTCAGAAATTTATTATTGTCTCTTTCCAACTGGCCTGAAATTCTCCTTTGAGGAGTCAAGAAAAGCAAGCCTCTATAAACTTTAAAGAATTATATCTATATACACACATATATAATGTGCACATTTTTCAGATGCTGCTGTTTGTGGATGGTATTGGGCTAATTGTATCAAGCCACAGACTATTACAGGGCCTCCATGACATAAGAGATTACTTAAAAGATATTATCCTAACAATCTATATAGGAAAAGTTGAATGGATGGAAATGCCTGTTGTATAGATTATGACATATAGTTGTAAGGTTAGCCTATTCAATTAGCAGTATGTGTGTGTGTGTGTGTGTGTGTGTGTGTGTGTGTGTGTGTGTGTGTGTGTAGAGAGAGAGAGAACATATGCCCTAACTACCTATCACATAGCCATCCTGCGCACTGCAGATTGTGTGTAGCATGCTAAAAGATATACATGCATGTACATAAGATATACATATGTGTGGGTTGGAATGATTCAGGAATATTACACACTGTACCTTAGCACACATTTCTTTTTAAGCATATGTTTCGTCTCAGTAATGCTGTGTAGTTGTGAATCTTGGAACATGACAATGTCTGATGAATTAAAGTAGAGGTGACCCTAACTAAGGTCAACGGAGAGATGCAGAGTGGATAGAAGTAGGCTACAGCATATTTCTATTTTTCTATATTTTCTATTATGTATGGGCCAAAAGTAGTATACAGGATATCCTTTATAAAATACATTATTGAAAAAAAAAGTTGAGTTAATCTTTTAATGAGATTGAGGCATAACAGATTAGTAACCCAGGTACCCATGAAGTATTTTTAAAAGCTAGATGGTAGATTTTCTGTGAAGGATTGATGGAAAACATGGACTAAAAAAAGAAAAAATATATCATTTAAAAAAACATAGATGAGAGTCACACAGGGTTATTGTGTGTGGGTTCTGATGTTCTGATGAAGAGAATACCCATATCAGTGAAATCATAGATCCATTAAAGTATAGAATTATTGTCATTTCCAGAAAGACTTGCTTCCCACTCCTGATATTGGGATATGTATGGTGAGCTCTAGTCCTCTCCAGTGAGAACTGATGTGTTTCTCAGATTAGCAAATTGTTACCTTGGGAGGAACCAGTGAATATAATAAGTAAGGGAAATTAATGGAGGAGGAGGTGGTGATGGAGGGATAGGGGCAATGACTAGGAAAAATGCCCAGAGAAAAGAGAAAAAAAAAGTCATTCTTTAAAATTTCTCCTGAGTATATGTAGAGCCTATATCAAATTGCATGCCATCTTAGGGAGAGAGGTCGGGAGGGAGGGGGAAAAAATTTAAAATTCAAAAGCTTACGGAAGTGATTATTGAAAACTAAAAATAAATTAATTTTAAAAAAATAAAATTTCTCTTGATTCCCTACAGTGGTTCAGAGAATTATCCTCTATTCCCTTCTCTTCATCAATATCCACTCCATTCTCCTCAGGGAGAACACCTTTCTTGAAAGTGCTGGCCAGACCAATACATCGCTGCAGTCAACAAGACAAGGACTGGGAGATGAGAAGCATTAATAACCTAGAGTAGAGGACTGACCGATCCTCTGGGGAGATGTTCTTCCCTTGTGGCCAGTTCCCAAAAAGTACCCCTTAGCTGCCCAAACTCAGGACTCTTCTCTTCCTAACTCCAGAGGCTAGGCTTTGAGATCTCCACCATCTTCCCCTTAAACTTCATGAGCCGTGAACAGTGTCATCCAAGTGGGCTGTGAGCTCCCTTTATCTATTCTGGCAGCCTTAGTGTCTACAAATATGTCCATATCTTCCCCACCCCTCAAAGCCCCTCACCTCCTCCATCCATCCCCACTAATTATTTTTCTATACCTTTCATGGCTAACCTTGAAAAGATTGTCTAGAATAGGTTCCTCTACTTTCTGTTCTCTTACTGGCTTCTTAATTCTCTGTAGTCTGGCTTCAGACCTCATCAGCAGTTTCAATTGAAATTGTTCTCCTCGAAGTTACTAATAATCTCTTAACTGACAGATCCAATGGTCTTTCCTCAATCTTTATCTCGACCTCTCTGCAACCTTTGACATTGTCCATCGCCCTCTTTTCCTTGATACTCTCTTCTCTTTAGGTTGTTAGGATACTACTCTCTCCTGGTTCTCCTGGTACCTATCTAACTGCTCCTTAGTCTCTTCTGCTGGATCTTCAACCACGGCCGTCCCATATGTCCTGGGCTCTTCACCTGGTCATCTCATTAGTTCCCATGAATTCAATTAGCATCTCTATGTTGATAACTCTCAAATCTGCTTATCTAGGCCTAGTTTCTCTGCTAATCTCTAGTCTTGTGCCTCCAACTGCCTTAATACATGCCGGTTTAAAAAAAAATATATATATATATTATATACACACATATATATAATATATATATATATTTTTCCCCAATTACATGTGGAAATTATTTTAAGCATTTGTTACTTTTTTAAAAAAAGTTTTGAGTCCTAAATTCTATCCCTCCCTCTCCCTGTGACAGTAAGTAGTCTGATATAGGGTTATACATGTGCAATCAACATTTCCATAATACATTAAAACATTTCCACACTAGTCATTTGGTGCAAGAAAACTTGGAAGGAAGAAAGGAAGGAAGCAAGACAAGAAGCAAGGAAGGAAGTGAAAAATAGTATGCTTTGGTCCGTATTCAGATGACATCAGTTCTTTCTCTGGTGGCAGATAGTTTCATCATGAGTCCTTTGGGATTATCTTGGAATACATACCTATTAATACATTCCTAGCTTCCCTATTATTGTCCAAGCTACCACTGTCTTCCTAGATACCCAGATTCACAATTAAAACATCATCTTCAACTCTTCACTCTTCCCCCCACCCCATATCCATTCAATCAGTTGTCAATCCTATTGTTTATGCCTTTTGTACCATCTTTTGTACCATACCCTACTGCTCCTTATCTTTTGACACTGCCACCACCCTCATCTCCTCATATTTAGACTATTTCTTTTCTCTTTTTTTTTTTTTTTGCTTTTAGGCAATTGGGGTTAAGTGACTTGCCGAGGGTCACACAGCTAGGAAGTATCAAATGTTTGGTCTGAGGCTGGATTTGAACTCAGGTCCTCCTCACTTCAGGGCCAGTGCTCTATCCACTGTGCCACCTAGCTGCCCCTAGACTATTTCAATAGCCTCTTGATTGGCCTGCCTGCCACAAGGCTATCCCCCTTCCAGTCAGTCTTCTACTCCATTGTCAGTGATTTTTCTAAAGTGCAGGTCTGACCTTGTCATCCCTCTACCCAATAAACTGCAATGGCTCCCTATTACCTCCAAAATAAAATATAAAAATCCTGTTTGGCATTCAAAGCCCTGCATAACTTCTACCCCTCTCCTCTTATTACATCTTTCTCCCTCCAGCCCTGCCCCCCCACCCCCATATTCAATCCAGTGATACTAGCCTCCTTACTTTTCCTAGCATAAGACACTTTAGCTCCAGACTCCTTGTATTTTTACTGGTTATCCTCCCATATATTGAATGCTCTCCCTCTTCATCTCCACTTCCTAGCTCCCTTCAAGTCCCAGCTAAAATTGCACCTTCTATAGGAACCTTTCCAATTCCTTGTAATTCTAGTATTTTCCCTTTGTTATTTCCAATTTATCTGGTATATAGCTTATTTGTACATTAGAGTGCGTGCTGCTTAAGAGCAAGGCTTGTCTTTTAACTTTTTTGGTAACCCTAGTGGTTAGCACAGTACCTGGCCCAGAGTAGGTACTTAAAAATGTATTAATTGCTCAAGCTAGGTTGGATCATGGAGACTGAAAGAGGTACCATCTGCCCAGCTCTCATACTTCACAGACAAGCCCACAGACCAGTTGCTCAGACCCAAATCTAGGTCAGAAACTTGCAGAGCTCAGACCAGGGAGACAGATTTTGAATGGAACAAGGAAGAGTCAAGGCAGAGGGTTAAACCTACAATTGATAAAACCAAGGAGGTAAGTAGTAAGACTGAGAGGTGCACCACCTCCCCCCACCCAAAAGGCTGCATTAAGGGAAGCAGAATGTCCAGAATTAGAGACATAACAGTCCCATTGTCCTCTACCCAGATCAGATCACTTCTGGAGCATCATGATCAGTTCTGGCCACATTTGAGACAGGACAAAGAGAAGCTGGAGAGCATTCAGAAGACAGTCAGGATAGCCAAGATCATACCATTGAAAGATCAATTGAGGAGGGCAGAGCCAAGATGGCAGCGTAGCAAGAAATACAGCAAGTTTCCCCGCCCAAGAAAAGCCAAACCTCCACCAAAACAGGTCTAGAAAATGCAACCAGCTGAATCCCAATAGGGAAATGCAAGGAAAAAAACCACAGACATAATTTTTCCACTCTAGGTGAGCATAGGGAGATGAATAGAGAGGTCTATAGACATGGGGTATGTGGTCTGGCCAGGAGTGCTCAGCAGGAAAGAGGCTGAGAAGTAGGGCAAGAAGAGGTCCCAGATCCAGCACAAAGGGGCTGAAATGTGCATGGTACAGGAACAAATGACAACTGGCAGTTCTGTTATTCACTACCCATTTT